TAATATATAAATAATATTATATTATTATACCAATTCCATCCAGGCTGAAATGATTTCAGTGGCATTTCAGATCAATTTGTATATCCAGACAGGTAGTATCTTGTCATTGAAGAGATACCAAAAATAATGGCAACAAGGCATTCAAGGCAAAAAGGAGGTGAGACTTCCAAAGGTGTATACACTTTCTAAAGCCAAAGGAAGAACACTGCATTGCTAGGAAAAGGTACGCAGCCACATAACTCAAAATTTACTGTCAACTTCCAAATAGGCTGAATGGATTTTCCAGTTTGTGGCTTCGGTTTCTGCTGAACTGGGTTTGATCTGGAAGCTGTCTGGCTCCCTTCCGCTACATCTCACTTGGCACTCAGTGGTGTTCTGTTGGCCTCTCTGTTCTTCATCACACCCACCATGTAGGTTCCCATATAGTTGGCACAACACACTTCTGGATTACCACACTCCTTTTGTGCCCCCACTTATCAGAGCTGACTGCACTGCATGCACGTAGCACTGAAATCCCACCTGAAAACTAGCTTTGAGATGTTCTGGTTTGAAGATTTGAGCCTTTCAAGAATTATACAGAACTGTAAGGGATTTTCCATTTAGACAGCCAGTGCCACCTTACAGTGAGATTACCTATAGCAATATGTGCACATATTTAATATAAATGGCTATGTTCTATCTAGTAAAACATACGTTTCTGCTGAAGCTTTGCCTCCTCTTCAATCTCTAAAAATATCTTGACAGGTTAGCCCATTTCACAAAAAGTCAGCAACTCTGACACAGTACCATGCCTTTATAAACGAACACCTTCAAAAAGAACACCACTAAATTTAAGTTACTTAAAAAGTGATAGATAGCATGCGGCTCTCAGCTCAAGCACATACATGTTGTGCAGTCCCGAAGAGTAGTAGGACAGAGTAGGGCTAGGAGAGCGGGTCTGCTGTCGTGCAGGTTTGACTGTGCGAGGAGGGATGGAAGGACTGGTGGAGGACGGCTTTGAACTCCGTGGTGGGACAGGGGGAGCATTCAGGAGCCTGCATTCCTCTTTTACCTGTACAAAAGAAGAACATGTAAGTAAGCAGCAAGAAAATCTGGGCAACAGCACTCTCAACCAGATGAAACACAGCTGGTTCTGCCTTGTTCTATGAAAGGAAATAATTAAAAAGGGAGGAGAAGAGAAAAATGATGCTAAGTATATACATTTGGAACAGTATGTGGCTGTCAAAGAAGTCCAAAAGAACGCCTTGCTACCGGTAGAGCTACTAGCAATCTTTTTTAGGGTTCTTTTCCGTAGTTTGATATCCGCTCATTTAAAAAGCAGCATCAATGGAAAGATGTAAAAGAACCTTCCAGTAACATACAAAATCAGACATACTGTTCCAGACACTTTACATTTTGTAAGGAGCAATTCATTAGGTTTAAACTTCATTAGTGTTGTTTATTTAGATGCAATAAACCAAGCTTACGTAATGAAAAGATCTCAACAGACTTTTATGTTTCCTGACTTACTTCACCAGCGATACTCAGGCATCCAGCTCTAAGACAATCCCCAGCCTTCCTCCCCCAGGAATAGTACTTGTATCTCATATTTCCCAGATGCTGGGATTGAAACCTGCAGCTTCAGCCCTTCTGTAGCTGGCAAAGCAGTCCAAGATCAGGTTAACTACAAAACGTGCAAGCTGAAAGGCGTGGGCAGAAAAGCCTGTTCATATAATGCACCCAGCCAATAGGTCTACTCTTTGCAGCCAGCCTACTTTGCAGTTTAAAACACATGACTGTAGCACTGCTTTTCTGAAATTTAGTCTGGTCTGCCTAGGTAGGAGCAAGATATCAGGATCTATCCCCATAGAAAAAATGATGGAATTAAGACCTTAATCTCATCAGTTACATATCTGGGACAGCAACTTTATTTAGTAGGGCTAGACGTGAGCAAGGCTACTGAGAATTAGGCTGCCCGGCAGGATTTTTAAAGACTCGCTACCTCCCCCTGGGCAGGAGGAGACCTCTACATTCTCCTTGTCTGAAACAGTCTTAGATGCACTAGAATAGGGAAATTCTCTTTGTGTTTGAAAGTTATAGTTTTTTTTTAAGTTAACAACACTGGAGAACTAGAAGTTATCTTAGCAGTTCTGCAACACATAATTAGCAATTAAAGTGATTTAATTTATTTAAAAAAAATAAATGTGGAACGTTTTGCAATCCACTTCAGCGCTTTCAAAATGCAACAACCCATTTAGTACTTTTGTGAAATGGAAAATTGGGGACTAGGACATTGTAGTACATTTTTTCCCTAATTCAAAACAAGTCAAAATTACAGGAAATGCCTGACAGCATAAAACACTGAAATAAATCTTGCTCTAAGGGTTCTTATTTGCTCTTTCAAGAAAAAAAAAATCAATTTTATTCATGTTTGTTACTGAATTCAGGCATAAAACCCTTCAACCATATTAGTGCTGTGCCCCGAGGATGCCTAAGGACTTTGTTGTTGTTGTTGTTTTTTTCCCCAGTTAATACTGCCTGCCATTCAATATACACCCATAGGGCTTGCGAGACCATTCAGGGGAGCTTGTGGAGCACGGCAGACAGTCAAGGGGTTAAAGGGATTCTTTCCGGGGAAGACTGCTGGCATCCAAAGGTGCGGGCATAACAAACTGTGCCAAGCTCCCTTGCTGACCTAGACTGCAGATCAGAACAGGGCCATAAATAATACCGGTTTGCAGTCCCAGTTGGTCCCCGTCACAAGACTGTGATTACAGCTGCCAGACACAGCCCAGCAGAGGTATAAAAAGGAGAAATTTTTGCAGATTAAACTGACAAGAGCAAGGGGAAACTTCAGAGGAGAGCTACCCTCACTAGGTCCAAGCAACCAGCAAGGAAATAAACGCGGGAGAGGAGGGGAGCAACATGATGATCACCTTGACAGCTCCTGCTCTTAGTAGGAAAACCTCTTTTGCCCCGAAGCACTCAATGCTGTACGGCTGCCAGAGACAGATAAAGTGCATTTGCACTGCACATCCCGGGACTTTTATTCGTCACCATCTGAGCTGAGAAAGGGACAGTGGCCCCTTTCCGATGGTGTGAGGTGCTAGAGTGGATTTTAAGACCTCTGCTTCTTTTCCTTGGTGCCAGCCCAAGCCCCGCCAGCACCCCCGGGGCCCTGGAGTGTCCCTCCCGTACCTGGGCATCGCCGGTGCCTGTCGCAGTGACCACTTCCGAAGCTGCCTGGATAAAACCCACCCTGTCGCCAGCATGACCGCGAGCGTTAACACAAAGTGGTTCAACGCTCCTTGCCGATGGAGCCTGAACGGCCGGCATGCTCTGTTGGGTCAGGCTTTAAATCAATCAGGAAATCAGCCTCCGATTTTATGCAAATTAGTGTTTGGGGACTGAAGCAATTTTTAATTTACAGGCCTTAATTCAGAGATCATTGCCCCCCCACCCCCCTTCTGCCTTTTATGCTGTTTTGATTTTCTGAAAAGTATTTAGAAAACAAGCATTATATGTCAGAATGCTTCACCCCGGCAGTGAGGGAAAAAAAAAAACCAGAACAGTTTCTGAAACACCCAAATGTCCTTTTCTCTCTCCTACAAACAGCTCCTGTACACACATTTTAAATTTAGTGCATGCAAAAATACAATTGCCAGCCAACCTTTATACAGAAATGCTACGGAGTATCATTCTAGAGAGAGTGATGACTAAACCGCATGTTCATCAGCAGCTCCTGAGATCTACTTATTCTATAAATACCCTACATGGAAACCATGCAAACATCTCCTCGGCCCCAGCCCACTCATGAATTCAGTAGGACACTGATACTCATTCCAAAGCTGTTCCAGGAAGGCACAAAACTGAGTCTAAATTATTATCATCTATGGAGATGCAGGTTTTTAAAATTTTGTTTCATTTCTTATGGGGTTACACCCTTTGTCCACCTCTAAATGCAAGCTAATATCTTTAGCAGAAATTAGTTCTGCACGGCTAGAAAGTAATATTGAAATTGCTGACAGCACTCACACATACCTCAGTGATGCAAGGGAATGTAATGTGACAAAACCGCACACTTTTCAAAATGTCCTTAAAAAGCAAGATACGTATCTATCCCAAACGCCACCCTGCTGCCCCCCCAGAAGGGAGTTGCTGTGCCACGAGGCTTCCCCAAGCACGAGGTGCTCCACAGCTCTCCCGGCATCCTACCACCCACGCCTCAGCCGTGACCCAGGGGGATCGGCAGCCCCTGCCAGGAGGGCTGCCCTCACCCCACTGCGGGGGCAAGCCTTCCTCCCCCACCGCCCTCCCGCCCGCTGGCTCCGGCGCTCCTTTGACCCTGCGCTGAAGCAGTTCAGCTCGCAGG